ACAGAGAGAGAAAAAATATATAGTTTACTACATATTGATCTTACTTTTAAAATTTATCAGAATACGAAAGTTTTAATTTTGAAGCTTCCCAAGTGTAGTGGGTTGAATAGTGGACTCCAAAAGATATGTCCACCTGGAACCTGTGACTGTGACCTTATTTTGAAAAAGGGTCTCTGCAGGTGTAATTAAGTTAAGGATCTCAAGATGAGATCATTCTGGATAAGGAGGGGCCCTAAATTCAACGATAAGTGTCCTTAGAAGAGAAGAAAAGGGGAGAAGATTCAGAGGAGAAGACCATATGAAGACAGGCAAAGTTAGAAGTTATGAAGCTGCAAGTGGAGCAATGCTGAGGATGGACAGCAGCCACAAAATGAGAGAGGCATGGAATGGAGTCCCACTCAGAACCTCTGGAAGAAACAACATTGCTGAACCCTGGACTTCAGACTTCTAGCCTCCGAAACTGTGAGAGAATAAATTCATATTGTATCAAGCTGCCAACCAGCTGGTGGTAATTTGTTATAGCAGCCCTAGGAAATGAATACACCTAGATATTTCAAAATATTATTTGTCTGATGCATTTTTTAGGAACAATGTAATTAGATAAAATAAATAACTTTCTGAAGTCAGAATCTTACCGTTCAAACTCTGTCCTATTTGCATAGTACCAGAGGCAAAATCTGTAATTGAACCACTTAGAGTTCTTGCATCAAAAGCTGCATGATCCTTCTCCAAACCATTGATAAAGAAGCCGATTTTTGTCTGATGAACCTGTAAGAAATTATCATCATTATTTCAAATGCATATACTTTTTTTTATAATAATCACATTTCAGCAGTCTTTCTCAAATTACTTTCCTACTTCCCTACTTTGTTAAGTTGGGAAGACTGAAAACAATTTATTTTAAAGGTTCAGTGATATCTCTGTGTGTTTATAGATCTAGATATAAACCTACATATTGTGGTTTTGTGCTGTAATGATACCTCCCAGAATATTCACAGGCATGCATAATCGTTTGCTCCATGTATTTAACAGCTCTGATTGCCATACCTTCATAGGTTTTTTGAGGATATGCTGTTTTTTAAACACTAATTAAATATGTTATGGCTATATTTGGAAATAAAGCAGAAAAGAATACATCAGAGAGAAATATTCAAGAACAGATACTCCAAAAATGTATTACATGTAGATATAATTCAATTTAAGTTACTAGGATAAAATATTTCTTATAAATATTTACTTTCTTAGGTGTTGCTATACAGATGGTGAGTTTCAGATACACTTTTCCC